AGTGCGCATTCGATTTTGGTGACGACACGGTTAGTGGGCAAGTAAAAGATCCTGTTATCATATCTTCCTGACATCTCGACTTGCCTCAACCCACAGTAGGAATTAAACGCTCACTAGTTCTAAATATGTTTTACTACTGGCCTGGTTCTCTTTCGCCAGCTAACTTATACCTCGTTCCAGCCAAGTCCCTACGCTGGATGGCCCACTTAGCTCCGTCTAGTGACTAATGCTCTTGACCTGATCCTAGCTGATAAAAACGAAACCAAAGTCAGTTTTTTCTTCGTTACTTGAATGTATTATACGTTGATATATATATACCGAATCCAGCTGACGACTTGCTCCACAGCTCACTAAACACTTACGGACACAATATCGCGGTACGCTTCTGCTCGAAATGGCAGCCCACACTAGCGGTCAGTCGCCGTTCGGCAGTAGCGCACCGTGAATATCATTTCATTCCAATTGTCTCATTAGTAGCTGTCATTTCATTTGTCTCCTCCGCGAATCGCCCTTACCAGCTTTTGCCTGCTGTTCACTTATTCGAACTGACTGAGCTGCTTTTACAGGCCTTGCTTTCCCCCTGACCGGAAAAAACTGGTAGCTGGAGTATTTTATTAATGCACAAGCCGCATTTGTGGCTTTTTGGCTGGTTTCCCACCCTGCAGATCTGGCAGCATGCACGAAGGATGAAAACCTCGTTTGGTGATGGGTACACCCTGCAGGGAAGATCCACCATCTCAGAATTTCCATCCCCGCCATGCCTTAGGTGCTCGACTTCCCTTGCCACGCCGCCCTTTTGTATAATTACATCTAACTGCCTTTTGTCTCAGGTAGCACAATAGCATATATTCGCAGTCCTAGCTTGACCTTGATGACTAAACTTCTGAGTGCAGTTCCATCCTAATCCCGTCTCGTTTAACCACTTGTTGTCACCATCATTACCACGGCAAATGCTCAGTTTTTTCCCTAATAAAGGGCTATATCCTGTCTGGTGACCCCTATTACTCTCCAGGTTTTATTGAACTCATCGCGTTTCATCTTGGCCCCAAGCTTCGAATCGCGGTAATACGCCCTATTTGGCCGTTATCCACTCCACTCTGTACGTTACACCTGAAGGAATCCTCCGCCGGACAAAAAAAACAGATCTGCCTGCAACGTTACATTGGTTTTGCTCCCCGTGCGGAACCCACTGGAAAATCCACAACAACCCGGTGCCCGCAAAACTGTAAATCCCAGCTCAACTACCTTGGTCATGACGCCCATCACGAGGCTGTCCAGAAACTGAAGCATCTGATGCAGCGATTGCATGGCATACCCGCGACTGTTTACTACCTACGTTGACTGCGCTCTCTCTCTTTCACTTGTCCTCCTACCTGCGACCACATTCAAAGTCTCCATCCGGCCCCAGCCGCATCCGGGAGGCGTCTATTATAATCTACAGAACCTTCCATCGGATCTAACCATCTCGAGGTTTGTTTCACCTTGTGCTTCTTCCCAAGTAAATCATTTTCCATTAAGTTTGTGTTCCTTCCTGTGTATTTGCGTGAACTTCTCCCAAGGAACTTTTACGCCTAACTTCGCTCCAGCAGCAACACTTATGAGTCTCTCCAGTTTCACTGCACACTGCACTTCTGAGTTTCCCGCCACCGCACATCCATACTACATATTCCTTCACTTCACCATCTACACTTTCTCCTTTTCGTTACCCTGGTCATACGCTCAACAACCCACGGACACGAAGCCGAAGTGACGGTTCTGGGCTTAAGTTCAAATTGGCCGGTCAGATCGTGACAGTTCGGCTGCCTCATCAAATCCGTTAATCTGGCTCCGCGTTTTTTGCAGCTTGAGGCTTTTATCACGTACCAGACGGGAATTCTTTTGCTATGCTCTCTCTCTTATTGTGTTTGCGCGCCGCTTTGAAATCTGGTCTCATCTGATACTCCCCTATGAGAAAGGAAGAACCCTTGTAATTTTGGCTCCTTACCCATGCCGCCTCCGGAGGGACCAAGTCCACTTTGGATAATGTCCGCTGTTTATGCCATCATTACTTTTCCACGGAATTCTCAATACACATAAACCCCATCAGTCATACCCTTATGCTGGCTGTAACATTATGATCATGTCTAACGGCAAGCCACCTACCAGTTTTGCATAAACATTATTATTATTATTACTAGTAGTAGTATAATCATCGCTATGGACACATTCATTATGTTCACAAAACTCTTACCAGAAACAGCAATGTAATGATAATGACCCTTAGCCGCAGGTGGGGTTTTCTGGTGCACTGCTTGATATCAGCGTGGAAGTATTGAGGTCCACGATGCCTTAACAACTAGCCACATATACCTTGCTTCGTTCATGGCGAATAGATAAACGAACCTAACTGACGCAAACGACTAGCATGTGGCCAAGGTTCTACGATACCTAATTGACCGGCTACATTATTGCCTTTCGTTTTGTGCATCACAAAAGTTCTTGTGAGGTACTGCTCGCCCATCGTTTCCCCGAATAAACTAAACAGCTTACACATGGGCCCAAACATTTGCTTTCCGCGAAAGCACACATAACCGGACATCCGGTGCCTATGACATTTGTAGTCAGTAGGGTGTAGGGCTCGTAACAATAGGCCAGGTATTAGTTGCTTCAAAAGACTTATCGAAAACGCGTTGTCATCTGTGTTCCATCGACAGTTATTACATCCGGGAAGAGCCAGAACAGTGCCATCTACTGCCATCTGTAGAAGCATCTGTGGGTATACTGACCTCCTCTTGACTCCAACACTAGCAAACGCACGCTCTCGCCAAGATTTCCCAGGACCAAAAGAACAGCACCTGCCACAATGAAAACCTAATATCCGTTACTGGCTCAGCGTAGATGACCGGCACTCCCGGCGGTAGTTGTACGTGTCCTGAGGGAGAAAAGCTCGCTGGATTCATCGGCAACAAAATTTTTAACTTCACATTATGGTGTCCCATACTTCAGCAAAGCCCTGCGGATGCCCGACTCCTTTCTTGTTAGTCGTTGATTCAGCCGAAGTCGATCGTACAAAAACTTGGAAACCTCATGTCTGTTTTCCGGATAATAAGAGGTGACCACAAAATGTTCCCTGTCTCGCACGGTAAAGAACTAGACAGCGGGCGTTTGATGTACTGTATGTAGTCAGAAAACGCGCCAACCATACCAGCTCCTTCGAAATACCCGACTTTACATCGGTTTTGCTGGACGCCGATTGCATTTTCAGAATACTTGTAATCAGAGCAAACTTGGTGCTTTGGTTACACGACACCTGCACAAATACTGTATAATTGCCCTTCATGTATACATTTAAAGCTTCCTCAAATGCAGAGAAGAATAAAAACTGAAAAGCAGCCCATTCCCCAACAAACTTGTCTGAGACCACATTTACAGCAGTAGCATTGCAACTTTCAATCTGAAATGTGCGCCAATTTTTAGGAGGAAAGTGAGAGTAAGTAAAGCATCCCGATTAGGGCTTTTGGGTTGAGCATTCATACAGCAAACTGTTACATTGCTGCATGGAAATTATTATTCCACAAATTTATTTCAGAGAAACAGACGTCTACTGGCCAAGGAGCAATCTCACAAAAGGGCGAGGCTGAGCAGCTGCCCAAACCAAACCAAGAACTAACGAAGGGATAACCTTCGGTCCAATCCCACCACTCACTTCGTTCGGTGGAGATTCTAAACTCCAGATAATACAAGCTAGTCAGAGCTTCACGTCTCACCAATTATATTTGTTTCAGCCTACTCTCCGGCGCGGTTATCGCCGAGACTAATGGTATATTGCGGTATCAAACGGCGGTTTAGTCGTGAATCCGTGCCGCGCTGCTTTTTCAGGGATTATTGTCAAACCTTCGAACCCAGCTGAAAGAAGTTATCACAAACGAGCGCGATATGAGTTTATGTGTGTAAAATAAATAATAAGATAATTGTTCATCTGCGAAACCCATTCAGTGCCTGGCTGTCATGTCACCCGAAGGAAGAACGATAGCTGGGATGCTACCAGGTTTCCCGAGCCTAGACAAGGGAAGTCGAGCGTCAGAGGTCGTGTTCGAACCACGAACCTTTTGCTCAGCAAAGTCGCGCTCTAACCACTGAGCCATCGCTTGCTAATATAATGTTTATTCCCAACTTGTGGGTGACATACCGTTGGGCATGATCAGTATGTCGCTTGTGGAAATGGATCTCTTGTTTCAAGGCTACGTTGATCAGGTCACCTCAAGTAGGCAATATATTAACCGTCCTAGGGCAGCTAGCTAGCTACCCTTATCTGCGAGCCTCAGATTGCTCGTGGGATACAACATTCTTCTTCTCTCGGATCCAGTGCACTAAGGTTCAGCCTTAATAGCAAATTTCTGGACATAATTAACCCACTGCTGCTTTCCGGTGGCGATGCAGAATCAATCCGCTATTGAGGCTTCGAAAGAGGAGCCTTGCTTGACCTCATACTATACTATACTATCCAGGATACAATAGGTTACTTGACAGAAGCTACCACGTGCCCCTCAGAGAGCCTCACCTTAACAAAGCAATTGTCAAGAGTAACTCGGAACTACACAAGAGAACCAAAACCAATCTTTCAGTACCAGATGGGGCGGAGTGAGCCAACATCCGGAGCATCATGCAAGTGTTTTCACACGAGGACTCATGGATGGCCTTCTTCCGTTATCTAACAAGAATGACTGACTTTTTGTTGAAAACATGAGTTTAGTTTGATCCCGATGACTTCAAGAGAAGTGAGTCAGTTGAAGAAAGGTATCGGACTGCGGAACTTGACGGCGCATAGAGATCATAGGGATCTAGTGAAACAAAAAGGGAATGGTTATGCTACCCAGAGAAACCAGTGCACGTTACTTGTCTTCTATGGTCAAAAGGGTCCATATTTCTCGCTCAGTAAAGGGATCACGACAATGGAACGACAATAAAAACACATAAGCCAGTTGGGAATGGCCTAGCAGAGCCTAACCCCAGTTCACACGATGGACGGTCTAACGGATTCCCTAAGGACGGCAACAAACATTCTACCAAACTATTTCACTTTTGTATTCGCATCCGCGCCTCATAACCACAAGTCACCGGTTATCTCACACTTTGGTCTCAGCGTCATGGCCATTATACCGACGACCATGGGACACAAATCTCAAAAACAGACTGAAAACGCCTTGGCAGGTGCCAGTATGCTATGTCACAGCACCGTTTTTCTTGGCATTTGACAGCCACGCAACAGTCCTTCAGCACTTTTGGTTTCATTTGCTGGTCGAAGAAGATTCATAAGTTAGCGAATATACACTCATCTACAAACTAATTTGGTTCTTTCGGGAGACTCACCTGGAACCCAGCTGAATCTCTCGTTTATGATGTTCTCAGGCAAATGAATGTGCTGCACCAGGCCGCCTCATGTTTCAGTCGCTACGCTATTTGAAATATCGCGATACATGTATATTTGTAATGTACTACTCGTAAGGTTGCTGAAAATCCATCGACAGCCAACGACCGGTTTCGCCCTTCTTGGGGCTCATCAGGTAGGCGCAGTCCCCGGGTTTCCGTCAACCTTATGTTCTACTTGAAACCAAATTGCACGAAATTAGCGAATATACTTTCATCTGCAACCTTACGAGCAGTACATTACAAATATACATGTATCGCGTTATTTCAAATATCGTGGCGACTGAAACATGAGGCGACCTGGTGCAGCACATTTAGTTGTCTGGACACATCACAAACGAGAGATTCAGCTGG